GGGATGCAGGCAGCACACAAAACCACACACCCTCCGATCTGTGGAAAAACCTTTCTCCACGGAACCGGTCCCTGGTGCCCAAAAGATTGGGGACCTCTGCAATAGTAATTAGATTTACATACTGCTTCACAATGCTTTACAGCTCTCTCTAAGTGGCTTACAGAGTCAGCATATTGCCCCAAACAATCTGGGTCATTTTACTGACCTCAGAAAGATGGAAGGCTCAGTCAGCCTTGAGCTGGTGAGGATCGAACCCCTAGCAGTCAGCAGAATTAGCCTGCAGTACTGCATTCTAACCACTGCACCACCAGGGCTCCTAGTATATAAAGAGAACAAACCCCACTCCTTTCATTACCTATTAGATAATGAAATGTATGCAAGCAAACAATCAAGCTCAGAGAGCACCCACAATTCAACCCTGAGCTGCAAATATTCTCTTCTATGAATAAATATTCTGTATTGCCTTAAAACCTCAAAAATATTTAAGCAATCCTTGGAGTTAACTGGTGGCTGGTGGTCATCTATTGACTTTGCCTTCATACCGCCACTGTTCCTTTCTCCTCCCAGACATTTGGACAGCGTCTTTATCAACAGTACACCTGCTATACCGTCTTCTTCATCAGCATTGAGATGTGCCAGATTGCAGATGTGCTTATCCGCAAGACACGACGACTTTCTGTCTTCCAGCAAGGATTTTTCAGGTAGATCACACCCCAGCAGCTCAATTGAGAAGATTCTTTGTCTGGCACAGCTGGGAACGTAGTTTATAAAATACATGTATGTTATACTGTGATTTTATAAATCAAAACAGAGGGATAGTAGCCAATGATTGCTTTGAGATGTTGACAGCAATATGGTCATTGACCACAAAATATTAATATGAAGGAACCTCCAGAATTGTCCAACCATCCAGCGGTGGCTTTGAGCTACCCAAAGAAAAGTTGAATCAGTTGAACCCACTTGGCTCACTGAAGAACTGGTACTCATAATGCAAAACTGCTATTTATAGCGTAATAGAAAGGATTTCGGATATTCTAAATCTCTAAGAAGGTTCTTAGTAGAAATAATTTTTCCAGGAGGCAAATGGGACAAAATTTAAACTTTACTGATAGATTCTACAGCAAGAATATTTCTCGTTCATTCTTCCAACCCAACAAATTCAACCTGTTGTTTAACCTCCTGTTCTCATTCTTAGTTTTTGCATTTGTGTTGGTTGGAGAGTGTGTTTTCCTGACCAAATGTTGCTGAAATGATGCTAATGATGGGCAAATCTGAATCAAACATGAGTCCAGGAAATAAGCTTGTTTCCCAGAAAAAATGGCAAAGCATTTGTAGCTTTCCCCAACCCAAGATCAAATCTGAGTTCTCCCTGAATTTGACAGTTTTGAGAATTCAACAAAAGATGAGTAATTTGCCTCCTTATCCTGGAACTGGCTTCTTTCCACTGAGTGACCCCGTTCTGCCAATGATCAATTGACCATCACCCAATGCTGGTCTATTCAAAACAGAAATCAAGAACAGCCAAACACCTTCCATTCAGCCCTACTCATCTCTTTCTCTTTCAGAAATAAGATCTTGGTGATTGCTATTGTGTTCCAGATCTGCTTGGGCTGCTTCCTCTGTTATTGCCCTGGGATGCCCAATATCTTCAACTTTATGCCCATACGGTAAGAACCTGTACACACTGGTGTTCTAACATGACAAAACCACTTCTCAAAAGTTCTCATGAAGCCGTGCTACAGAGCAGAGCTATTGAGAAAGCCCATAGCCACCTCTGAACCTGTCTCCTCAAAACCTGAGGTGCATGATTTTGTGGTTAGTTGTAGTGTTGCATTATGGTTTGCAAGAGATGGCTTTCAGTACCATACCGTATGAAGATCCTAACAACTCTGGCTTCTACAAAACATGATTAAGCAAACCAGTGTTCTCTGCCCACATTCTTGCTTTTCTCCTTCCATTGTAGGATATCACTCCATGCTTAACATGGCTATAAATCTCAACTCTCCCTTCATTCAGGAATTAGCTAGCTCAGTGGAAAAACTCTCAGACAAAACTCAACAAGTCTCTTCTAATCACACAAGAGATATAGATTTGTCCATTGCAGTGCACAGACATCAATGACTGTATTTGTATATTTGATATATAACCTACCCTTTATAACAGTAGCTTAAGGCAGCCTATAGTGCTAAATTCTCAAATTCTTTTCCCCAAACAATAACCCTGTGAGGTAGGTAAGGTAGATAAGAGGGGGACCACCCCAAATATAGAAAGAAGCTTCCATAACTGAAAGTTAATTAGAACTTGGTCTCTGGTCCAACACCTTTATCACTGTACACGCTGGCTCTGTTTAAATTTATATTATTATACAACTCTAAAAATCAGGGTTTAAATCCTAGTTTTCTTCCTCTCCTTCGTAAATCATCTCTTATTTCTTTAGGAAATCTCATCTCATCTATTATAATTTCCTACTCAACTTGCTGTAATTACCATGTCTTTTTTTAAAAAAAAAATGTTATTTTCCTCTAACTGCACTTTCATTGCCTATTGTTTCTCCTATCCCATCTCATCAAAGTTTAGATTTTAAATTCAGTAGAGCAGGAATCACTCATTTACATATTATAATAACAGTAAGTACAGGCACATGCAAAGACAATGAGGAGTTAAAGAGGTAGAAGGCTACAGCTTAGTCCTCCTAATCCAAATCTCCTCTCTAGCTAAAAGGGAAAAAGCAAATCCTCTCACAGGAGGGAACTTCCTGCAGCTCAGCTCAGCACCAAGGACAGCAGTCATTACAGCCCTACATTACAACTGCTCCCTTTTTCCAGGGACTTAGCAAGAAAACACAGACCCAAACTGGGAAACAAAGCTTTGGGGTCATACTTGTTTCGCAGATTGATACTCAGTTCCTGTCAGTTTCAAGCTACTTCAAAGACAATTCAGCTCAGCAAGCTGACTTTAGCAAGCTTAACTTTTTCCATTCTCTTGTCCCCCGTCCCATCTAGATTCCAGTGGTGGTTAGTGCCTATGCCTTTTGGCATCCTGATCTTTGTGTATGATGAAATCCGAAAATTGGGAGTCCGGAGACACCCTGGAAGTAAGTTACAAGGATGGGTAAGGAGAGGAGGGAGGCAAGTTGACATAAGGTTCATAGAAGGCTTGATTTAGGCATGTTCTAATGTCTAATGTAGTTCCAAACTGCTGGTCCATGGGCCGGACGCATCATCTGGAAGCTGCGCCCACCCCATTGCTGGCAATGGCAAAACTATTCTGATACGTTGTGTGACATCACGTGACGTCACGAGTTTGACATGTCTATTCTAATGCAATTCTCAATCTTGGATCACTCAGAGATAGTCATGTCCTACTAGAAACCTTCCAGGGTACACCTCTTTGTTTTTCCATCAACTGACAAACTGCTGTAGGTATCAATGATATCATCATCATCCTTAACCTGATCCCCATGTTGTTTCTTTCCTCCAGGTTGGTGGGACAAAGAACTTTACTATTAAAGATGAGACTGCGGGCACAAATATGTCCCCATTGGCACGTTTTGTGCTGCCTGGGCTGCTCCCTGTGGGTGCAAAAAACTACAGTAAGAAGGAACCTAGGATTTGCTTTCTTCATTAGCTATACCTTCTACCGAACTTGTTGTATTTCTTAACCCTTCCTCTGATGAAGTTCCATGTTCCACACGTCCTGCTCCAGCTACTCTGGGACAAAACTCTGCCCATCATCAAGAAAATATGTGGGGACACTGATATGCTAGGGGAAATGGACGGTTCTTGAGATGGCAACCAAATATAAACATTGGTACAGGCATAAAGATTTTTTTAAAAAATATAGCAAGTTTCAAACTCCAAAGCCTGCAAACAAGGCAATAGGATCTCAAGGAAGAAACAAGGGCAAGTGGTTTGCCTTCCTTTGCCTTCTCCACAGGAAAAGCAGAATTTAAAAAAAATATATAAAATATGCAATGGCACACTAGCATCACTTCCAACTTCTTCATGATTTGGTCTCCTCGGATTAGTAATTCCTGAAGCATAAAGCTTATAGAACTTTTACACAGTAGATGAAAGGAAAGCAGAGGAATTCATACACAAGCAGTCTCAGTTCAAGATAACCAGACAATGAAGTTACATAAACATATTCTCCATTCCTTCAAATTCTGATTTACCCTACAGTACAACGGACTGCAGTAAGAAAAGATTATGATATATGCCTCATGATGGCATTATGCAACGTGACTTATATACTTGCATCATATTTTGTGATGCAAGTAAATAATTTTGTTCTTTGCATATGTTATTTTGAAATCATTGTTAACAAATGGATAGATCAGCCGCCACCACAAACCACCTCCTGTACTTGTGAGAGATTTCCCTTCCTCCATGGCTACCACCCTATGAATAAAGAGAATGATCCTTCCATGTTTCTGCAGTCAATTCTCTCACCAATGTGACGGTAACTGTAAGGTTGAATTAAAGGGAAGGATTGCCGTGCCCATAAAGTCTCTGTTAATGGTTTTTAAGAACCCAGTTCCTGCAGAAGAAAACACCCCCTGAGAGTCAGACTTAACCACTTTGCGCTAGTATACTTCATGTAACTGTACTTGCTGATACTTGTCAATTATTATCATCCAAAAAAGATAAGTATTATATATGCCCTGGGATAAAAAATGAATCTTTCTGCTTCTCTTGTTTTACAAGTAGGGAGGACAACTAGATATGTATGCACGTGGACTTGAAAAACATTCTAGAGAGGTTTCCAAAGAGTGTCACCATAATGCTCCCTAAATCCAGCCAGTAACTCTTCATGTGCCCTGAACAAAATAAAAATGGTTTGCAGAGTGAGAACTCTCCGGCTACCAAGAGTCATGCAGAGAAGAGGGACCTCTATGAAGATGGTAACTGTCCATGAAAAACCCTGCGTTTCTCATCACCACCCACATCCTCCATCCTGTGGGCCTTTAGCAAAGGCAGCATCCATGCACAGTTGCCGTATCATGAAGAAAAATCAAGACCACCTTTATTATTGTTATCCCCATGACAGGCCAAATCATGAAAACCCCAATTTTAATTGTGCCATTTTATCCCCAGCTACATACTGCTTTAACTGCAAACCAAAGCCTAAATAACCTCTGCTTCAAATGTAATGCAAACATTATTACTCCAATTCATTGTGGCTTTAGCTTTGAGTTTCTCCAAACCCCATCCAGTTGTAGATTAGATAATATAGCAGCAATTTCTATGAGAGAAGAGTACCAGGGGTACATCACGATGCAAATGATGGAGCCTATAATACGATGGATGTGCTTGCATCCAATGCTACAATAATAAGCGTTACCTTGTGTATGATGATCTTATGACGTGTTGTCATTTTGACGTTATTCTGGCTGGCTATGGATGCCGACACAATACAACTAAGATTGAACATGACAGGAATATGAAATTACTGTGTATACGTGTTGGTTTAGTGCTATCGGTCTTGTTGGCTTAGTGGATTGCATAAACACCATCATAATGTAATAAACACATATAGAGAACAGCCAAATGAATTCAAATTGGGCAAAGTATAAATAATACTTTTTAAAATTAGCATCATTCTTGGAATGCCACAGGGATCGTTAACTGGAACCGATCTCGCAGCTGGGAGGCAGTGCAAAGGCCTGCACACGTTTGCAAACAGAATCCATAGCTGAGTGATCTTAAGATGTACAAAGACGAGGTCTCCCAAGCTGGAATAACAAGTGGCGGAGCTTCAGTTACTGTGTACCAGGGTGACGAAGAGAGCCAAGGAGCTGAAGGAAAGGAGGCCAGTGATCACTGCTTTCACCAGCAGTGCAGTCCAGCTACCCAGGAGAAAGACGTGCACAAACGATCTAGAAAAGCAAAGAGAAGTAGGCGAGGCTGAGATTTTAAGACTGGCAAAAAAACAGCAACCCCACTATTACATCAATATCACAAGCTTGATTTGTACATCACGCAGAACCAAGATACTGTGAATCATCACACATATGGTCAGCTACTAACTCTCCTTCATTAAAAACAATGGTTGAGTTTGTCTTATAAAGACAAGACCCAACAAGCCGACATGATGGCTTTCAGTGTTGTATGAATACAACCAAATGTAGCCACAGAGAGGGGCGTACACTGGGCGGGGAGAGGGTACAAAAGTTAAAATGGTGGTTTTGATCACAGCTCCCCCCCCCCACCCCCATTTTTACTTTTTTGACTTAGCACAAATACTGAGATGGGAAAGTTCTCCAAGCATTTGTGCAAAGAAAAGTCTTGATTCTTTGGAGAGGAAGAGGAATTTTAAAAGAAAGGAGCCATGGTGAGGATGTGAGAGTCTTCAGTTCCTCACTCATACAAAAAGGCTACTCAGTTCTGTTAAAAAAAGGATTTTTGTACAGAAAATAAATGAAAGAGGAAACAAGGATTTGAACCAAGTTCCCAAGGTTTCCTCTCCACCCCCGTAATCTCCCTTTGCCACCTTAATTCCACCAAGAGTACTCACTCCATGAAGAAGGCCTTGTAGACACTGACACCCAGGAGAAAAGTAAGAGGCAGTCGGTAATGTTTGGGTAAATCATAGCGGGTGAACATCCACACCAGAGCAGCGGTAGCAATGTAGTGAACCTGTAGGGACACAAAAGAAGAGACAAGGAAAGATTATCCTAAAGTTCAGGTTCCCTCTTTCCTGGCCCCTAAGCTCACTCAGTTTCCATTTTAGCTCTTGGGGGGGGGGGAACCCTATTCCTTACAGCAATGTTTCTCAACATTAGAAACTTGAGGATGTGTGGACTTCAACTCCCAAATTGGTTGGCTGGGGAATTCTGGGAACTGAAGTCCACACATCTTCAAGTGGCCACAGTTGAGAAACACTGCCTTAAACTTTTTCTTCCATCAAAGAAACAGTTTGGGGAATTCTTTATTGGAGTCGTGTTTGATTACAGAAAGTTCCACATTCATAGAATGATATCACTTACTTCCCAGCTCCCCGCTACAGAAGCCACACAGTCTTTTAATTTGAAATATATATATCTTCAGGAGATAAGCGTTTTAAAATTAAATTCCAGTAAACGCACGAAAGTATATGAACATCCTGTCTGTGAAATATTATTTTACTCTTTCATATGAAAAGTTCAACAAATTTAATGAACTGATTGATATTTTTAACTGAACTGCCAATCAAAATGTATATAGCGGGGAGGTAAATTTTCATACGTTGCCCTCCAAAACCTCACTAAACAAAAAAAAAAACCTTACAAGTTCCTAGTCCTCAGTAATTTAATCCTGTCATATGAGATATTATTTTACAGCTCAACCGAAAACAGAGAGAAAATTAACACTTACCAGGCTGATGTTGGAATCAATACTCATCTGAATGTATTTCCAATCAAACTCAATGCCACGAGCTCCCACCCACAGTGGGATGCATCTGTCGGAAGTATGAAGGCAAGTAGGATGAGACACATCATAAAGAAAGGGACACAAAACTTTGCACTGCAGCCTTGCAGGCTGCACTGTTGAGCCAGCAATCAAAAATGTGGGTCTAGTTTCTCCCACCCCTCTTCTGAACAGTGAACACCCTTACGTAAACCCAACTCACCGAGACATGATGAGTTCTGCCGTGGCCCAGCCCAACGCAGCTACCATGATCTTATATTCCCCTTTTCCTGCGTTCCGGGACATCACCAGGTGTAGACCCACCAAATCAGCCAAGTCTACAGTAGCTTTCATGAATTCCTGAAGCACAAGACAAAGTTTAGAAACAGACAAGCAAACTCCATGTTTCAGCCCCAAAGGTTCACACACACCACACAAACTTCAAACCCAACAAAGTAGAGTGTGCCCAAAGAGCATTCAGTTAGGTCCCTGAACAGGATCCACAGGTAGTAGCAGCCAATATTGAGACTTATGCTCCAACAACTTACACTATTATTTGCTAGTGGAAGTGAGATTACAGTGCTACAGTTTTGCAAAATTTACTCACTTGTGTCTGTCCATGCAATGTACTCAAACCCCAAATTACTCTACACTCAAAAAGTGTTTCTCTCATCAAGATGGTTTTACTTAGGAAGATAGTTATTTAATAAAACTTTCTGCCACCTTGAGCATCTTACATAGCAAAGATGAGATGCTAACCTTTTCAGGCATAGGTTTCCCCAAAGGAAAATAGAAATTTCAGTTTCAAAAATGGCTCCCGCCCCCACAAGAATCGCCAAACTCCCAAGATTTATATTAAAGAATGACAATGTACAGAGAAAAATCCACCAGGAAAAATTAATCACTGTCCTTTGGATTTTTATTTTGTAAATACATCAGCCTCTTGAGCACCTGGCAGAACCCAAAATGACAACTTTAGACTCTTCCTTGCTTGCCAACAGCCACACTTACTCCAACAAAATCATAAGCTCCTGCACCACCCTCCCAAGTTGGAAAGAACGTAGCTAAAAACAGCATCTGTAAAAGACAGAAAGAGAATAATACATCACAACTTTTTGCCATTACAGGCCTCACATTTTTGCACCCAGATTCTCATTCAATCCTTCATCCCTCCTTCAGCAAAGAATGTTGACCCATACCTTGCATAGCTGGACAAAGAGGTAGGTGGCTCCTGCTTGCACACATCGCCAGAAGGCATTATATTCTGACCTGCATAAGAGAGATAGCACAATCAGGCCTTGGATAAAATCTCTAATTTTGCAGAGCTTTACACTGGCGATTATAACAAATACTGATCCATCAATGAATTAAAATGCTGTTGCACTATCCTGAAAAACACCACAGGGTTTTCAGGGGCTGAAACCCTGTGTATAAACTCGCAGGGTCTCAAAGCAACATTTAAAGCATTCCCAACCTTGGCAACTTTTATAAGTGTGTGTACTTCAACTCCCAAAATTCCCCAGCCAGCCATGTAAAAGGTAAAAAAAATGTTGATAGACTAAACCATTAGACTGTTAAATTCAGCCACAAAAATACCATAAAGGGGACTGCAGTGCTTTTCAACTTTGCAACTTTAGATGGGGAGTTCAGGTAGTAGAAATTCACACAGTTTAAAGTTGCCAAAATTGAGAAACACTGGTTTAGAGACCGTCTCTAAAATACAGTGTAGCCCCAGATATTGCAAGCAGCCCCAAATTCTATCTTGCACTACCAGCATATAATACGCACCCATACCCCTCTTCCAAATAAGAAAGACACTTACAAGCCGCTGCATTTATAGGTGATAAAATAGGGGAAATAGGCCAGGGCAAAACAATTCCCGAAGTGGAAAAGAGTCATCTTGGCACACAGGTGGACCAGGTGGGTGGCTTTGGCCACCTAGTACTGTGGTGATGTTCCTATGGAGAGACAGAAGAATTAGATAATTAATAAATAAATGAATAAATAAATGAATAAACAGTAAGAGGCATTAGATAGATAGATAGATAGATAGATAGATAGATAGATAGATAGATAGATAGAATAAACAAATAGTAAGATAGATAGACAGATTAAAGGAGAGGAGAGGAGAGGAGATTAGGTAGGTAGGTAGGTAGGTAGGTAGGTAGGTAGGTAGGTAGGTAGGTAGAATAAACAAATAATAAGATAGACAGACAGACCGATTAAGTGAGAGGAGAGGAGATAGATAGATAGATAGATAGATAGATAGATAGATAGATAGATAGATAGATAGATAGATAGATAGATAGATAGATAGATAGATAGATAGACAGATAGACAGAATAAACAAGTAGTAAGATAGATAGACAGGCAGATAGGATAGGAGAGGAGAGGAGAGGAGAGGAGAGGAGAGAATAAACAAATAGTAAGATAGACAGACAGATGAAATAATAGGAGAGAAGAAAGGAGAGGATAGAAATATACCCACACCCACCGCAACCACCTGCACAGACTCATCCTTTCTATGTTCCCCCACATCCCAACTTGCCCTTCCCCAACGACCTCCTTTCCAGACTACAACTCCCATCATCCTCAGCCAGTGTTGCCAGGGAGACGGGCTGTGGCAAGCCTTGGAAGGCATCCCACCTGCTCTCGGCTGTTCTTGCTCCTGACTGGAAGCGCCTCAGGGCCAGACACCGACCCATCCTTTGCTTCTCACAGCACCCGACCACCGTTCCCGACGCTCGAGAAGCGCCTCCAGAAAAGCACCCCGGGTCCCTCTACGGAGCTCTCGGCTGAGGCGATCCTCCTGCCCGCCCGCCCGCCGCCCTTAAACCCCTTTTCTCCAAGCCCTCGTCCCTTTCCGTACTCGCTTGACATACACGGCCTTTCCCCGCCTCCGCCTCCTGAATGGTTATCTGCGCGTGCGCCCACGGCGCCGCCCTTCTCCGGCGGCGCTCGTTTGATGGTGGTTATTGTAGTTCTTTCCCGTGGCCGCCCGCTTCTTTTTCCATAGAGCCCAGAGAACGGCATGCAATACAATCCCCATGATGCCTAGAGGTTCGGGGTGGGGCGGGTGCATGGCGGGAATGGTAGTCCTTCGTTTAAATCACGTCGGCCTTACTGCAAAGGGCGCCGTGGAGGATTACTTGAGCGAAAAGGAGAAAAAGAGGCGGTGCGCTTGCCGAGTGGTGCACTCTGGGAATTGCTGTCCGAAGGTGAATGGGCGCAAATTTCCCCTCGTTGATGGGAGTTGTAGTTCTCGAATCTAGTGTGGACCTCAGGAGTTCTGCGAAGTCGCAAAGTGCTTTTTCAGAAGGCAGGTGGGCTTTCTTGTTTTTCTTCGAAGACATTTCGCTTCTCATCCAAGAAGCTTCTTCAGCTCTGACTGGATGGTGGGGAATGGAAGGATTTATGTTCCTTGCAGACAGCTGGTCATTTGCATTTTTGTAGATAAGATAACCTTTATTGTCATTTTTTTACTGTGGGCACAACGGCACACATCAAAAATGAAATTTAGTTGCCTGCTCTCAAAGTGAAACACATACATGACACACACCTAAACATACTATGAACAACATATGTATAGACACACACACAGAGAGACAGAGAGACAGACAGACAGACAGACAGACACAGTGGTTGAGGCCACCTGGAGGCTCATCTGTGTCATCAGGGTCACCCAAATAGTGCAAATACCTGTGGAGCCTTGGAACTGTTGAAAGGACCGTGTTGTAGACTGGAGATAAATAATATCATATCCCTCCCCCTGTTGAGAGGGGGAGTACACCACTTGGTTTTGCAGATGTTTCTTCTGGAGTCTGGATATTTTGCAGAAATACTCCAGAAATCTCATTTGTTGCATTTCTTACATGAAAAGGTATAGCACAAGACAATTACAATCCTTGATTGGTTTATTCCAAAAGTGCTTTTTTTCAAAAAGCAACAGACTTTTTTTTTTTTTTGGAAGAGGTTTGGCTTTAGAACTGAATAAGCTTCTTGCAAGAGAAGCAAAACCTCTTCAAAGGAAAAAAAACAAAGCCCGTTGCCTTTTGAAAAAAAGCACCTTTGGGACTAGTTGGGATGGTTGAAAATCTCCACAGACACTTGATTGGTTTAATTCGTGCTGCATCTTCAATTCTTTCTCATCTAGCAGTATAAAAAGCTATGCCTGTGTGAGGACTTTTCATATTGTTCCTTTTTTCCTCCCTTTTCCCTCGCTTCCAAAGGTGAGGCTTTGATGTTAATGCATAGTAGAATCCATCCCCTTGCCTCATTTAGGAACCTGCTCTTGAGTAAACTCATAGAAGTCCAAATCTGCCAGATTAGTAATGTTAATCCAAGTCGTCTATGGAGATTCTCAGTCATCCAAGTGATGGTTGTCCCAAAGGTGCTTTTTCAAGAGGCAACTGGACTTTCTCGTTTTTCTTTGAAGACGTTTCTCTTCTCATCCAAGAAGCTGAAGAATCTCCATAGACTTGTTTGGGATGTTAATGCAAGTCCCATCCCTTTAATATTACTCTACAGTTCTGGCTTCAGCAATAGTCATTGCTCTGGTCATCTGATGAATGACATAGAAGGATGCTAATTTTATCAGTCCTGGGACTCTGTAAATTGGTTCCCTTCAACCTCCTTTCTGGAAACCACAAGGAGTTCATGAGCCCATATCAGAAAGGCAGCAGTTTTATTTGTTCCTTCCCACTGTGATAACCCTGTCAAAAGCTCAAGGTATCCGATGTTCTCTGAAGCCACAGGGACATCTGAGGAATATTCAGATAGGATACTCATTTTTCCTTAGGTGTGATCACCTTGCATATTAAAAAGGGATTATCTCTGACCCTTTCATTAAAGAGAAATTGCAGAACCAGAGGGCTCAGTTTAGAATTGTTGCTGTTCTCAATTACAATTTTGGTTTATGTTATTTTTAGAATAGTTTAATTGTATTCTTGTGTCTTGTTAATCTAAACCAGTGAGAATAGCAAAATTCACTGGCCTGGAAGTTAAATAAATCAATAACTTTTCTCAGGAGACTTTTGCTGATTTTGATTGAAACAAATCAAGCCGCGCTTTGTAATTTATTTTTGTATTATACTGGTTAAAAAATTGCTTGAAATTATATGTGTAGATTACCCAGCCCATTAGTTTATGGATCAATATTTTATGTAAAATAGAAAAAGACTTAATCCAGTAACAATGTCATGCAAACACTGGCAAGATAAGGCAAGCTTTCACAATTCTAGTTTGATTCCTTATGCCAAGGAAGGCCATCCATTATTCTTTCCAACATTTTTATTTCTATTGTTTCTTGCTTTCTCTTTTGCTCAACATTTCAAGGAATCTTTTAAATAAATATACAGGGGATGTTGTGATTGATGAAAACACAGTCCAATTAGATTTCTCCAACTAGCGTCTCTGCTGGCTGTGGGTAATGAGAAGTGTTTTCCAACACTTCCAGAGATGCATTTATTCCAGAAGGGTATTTTGGACTAGCAAATGGCTTTGTTGATTCCTCTTATATCCATATTTCCAACCTAGCTGGAACAATAGTTACGGCAACACCCTTTTCTTCCTATAGTAGACCAAAGTTGTTTGCTAAAATTAGCCTGCAGTCCAGGAAACCAATATAATGCAGATAAGATCAACAAAACCTGAAAATACCACTAGCTTTACTATTAGCAATAAGGGAAATTTAGAAGCAGAATTCCCATTTTCTTAAGCAAAATAGCTTAGCATTCTTACAGTGCTGAAGTTTTGAAAAAGTGTGGAGGTAGAAGTTTTCTATCAAGTGTCTTCCAGAACATGGAGCTGTGAAAGCTGAATGCTGGGAGCTATATCTCAATAACACCTGAGCTAAATTAGGGTTCCTTTTTATTCCTACTATACAGACAACAGACATGCTCCATTGTATTTACCATTATACCAGATGCCTCGAGTTAAACAGTGTTTTTCTTAAAATAAATAAATAAAACCCTGATCACTGCTGAACTTCCAAACAGTTCTTTCTTCTGCATGTACAAAATGATTCCCTTCAGAAAAATGACCTATTATGATCAGGAGAAATCCTTTAACACCATTGAAGGGAGTGGTTAAGAGAGAGGCATTTGCTTAGCCTTTGTAATCCACGCTGATTTCTGGTAAGTTCAAGCTATCACTTGCTACAGTTTGGTGTGGTTGTGTAAACAAAGCACAACACAATTTTTTTTCTTATCAGAAAATCATCCACGAGTATAAATCAAAGCAAAACAGAAGTTTCCAGAGAAGGGGCAGCTTTCAATGCTCATAAACCTCACAAAGCACATCCGTTTGGCATGGTCAAGAGCAGGGATAGGCAACCTTGGCTCTTTTATGACTCGTGGACTTCAACTCCCAGAATTCCTGAGGAATTCCTCAGGAATTCTGGGAGTTGAAGTCCATAAGTCATAAAAGAGCCAAGGTTGCCTACCCCTGGTCAAGAGCAAGGATTCCAAATCCCTAAGACATTTAAAATCACAGGAATACCCATCAAGGTCAGTTTAACTCCAGTGGTTTTTATTTCAGCACTTGCAAGATCTTGAAGACGCTACAGCCACACAAACCAATGTATAATCCCAGAGACTAGACTCCTTCTCCAGGGAGGAACTTGGTGTAATTTATCTTCACTAAAATAAGCTGCTGGGGAAAGAAGGATTCACGCTCACGGATACACACACACAGACGTACACACAAAGCTTTACACAAAGTGCAGTGTTTGGGATTCTGTGGTGGAAGCAAAGAATCTAAGGACTAAAAGTGGTGAGGCCCTCTACTAAATAGCCTGGAATGTGATTCAAACTTAGGGTTCACATCTCCTCCTTGCTGTACATGTGCTTCAGGAGATCAGCTACACGACAGCTGTACCCATATTCATTGTCATACCTGCCAGGAAAAAAAAACATAAGCAAATCTTTATATTCAAGAATGACAGTGTACAAAAGTCAAAAAGCTGGAGCACCCTCGATATACAATGCCCTTCTGAAATTATTCCATACTTCCATTTTCCAATTCCTCTAAATCCAGATTCTGGAACATTTGGTTAAGGAAAAATGCATTAACTATAATCTATAATTATAACAAGTTGCAAGTCAGCATTAGTTGCACAGACATTCCTTGTTTAGAGACTACCTTGTTTAGTAACCATTTGTAATAAGACAGTAATTCTTTTAAAAAAATCATTTTCCATCCAATGCCTGCATTTCTAACTGAATCTCCTGCATCTGACAACACAAATCTTCACTGTGAAACTAAGGTCTGGTCAGTTTCAGGCAGCAGGGAGAGGTCTAATCAGGAAATTAAGATGGCAGAGCTGAGCTTGTTAACTTGCCCTTAGCATTTTTTAGGGAAGCGGTGCACGGAAAAGCAGTTCAGGAAGAGACAGCTTGTTTAAGCAATCTCTCTGCCCTGCAAGTGGGCAAAAAAAAGGGAGGGGGGGTGGGGGTGGTGGAAACCAAGTCAGGTACCAGACAGTGAGAGAACCTAGAGGTGGCAACAGCCAATAAGACCAATTCTGTAGTCTATGCTCAGTCACAACTTCACTTAGCAACCATTTTGTTTCCAATTTAAAGAACAGATTGTGGTTGCTAAACAAAGAGAGAATGTCTAGTAGTCAAATCTAGGCTAACTTGGAAATAAGCAGACATTAGCCCTCCTGGGGAGCAAACCTAGATGCAGTATCTGCAGCCAAAAAGATGAGGTGCTCTTGCAGCACCATGCACTCTCTTTTTCAGCTGCATGATTGAAAACAGAAAGGTTGGGGAAAGATTCTCCTACCAGGATCCATCCAGAATGGATCCGGTCTTTTATAGACTTT